TTCAATGGAAGCATCAATAGAAATGCTCTGTAGCACCTGAGATGGATAGAGAACTGAGGGAAATGGTAGGAAATAAAGATCAAGGGCGATTTCAAAGGGGTTCAGGATCGAGAGGCCAGGGGAAAGGGGGGTTTTAGAGGGTTTTGCTGAAACCTTTGGTGGTGGAAAATTTTCGTATGCGAGGTTGCGGTATCGAAACTGGCTGGACTAGGCCCGGATCAGCCGAGTAAGTCCGGGTCATGGGTTTGTTCACCGGACTCTGCTTACTGTACGGACCCTGTATAGATCACTCACAATGCATAGATGGGGGTGGGAGAATTTTTTTTTAAATAATCACCCACGCCCACCGACTCGCTCAAGCATGTGAGGATTCTGTACATCAGGCAAAATTCTTGTTCATCTTGTGTTGGCAGGCCCTGTCGGGATTCGAGTTTTGATAGGAGTGACAAAATTACTCGATCCTGTCTTGTCCAGCCAGCCTCCAGTGTCTTTTTTTCCTTAATTTTGTATGTGTTTGAGTCTCATTTTTATGAAAAATGAATTTTAGAACAGTGGGTGAGGTAAAATATGTGGATGAAAAATAAGAAAAAAAATTAATTTACATGTAATATTATTTGAATGAAAAATGTGTAATTAAAAAGATGAGAGAGAAAATATATTTTGATAAAAATGAGAATTGGACAGGGCCTTTATTATATGTTTTATAATTTAAATAGTATTTAAAAAAATTATTTAGCCCTTGTTTGAGCCACATTATTTTCATGAGAATGCATTTTTGAATAGTTTATTGAGGGAAGTGTATTGTTAAAACAGGACCTTAACGAATAAGTAAACATGGATGCTAAATGAGTACATTTTTTACTCTCACCCCATTGTTATCCCATGTTTCACGTGTATTTAAAAAGTGGCGTGTGTTTTCTTGTGCCCTCTCTTGAAAAGTGGGTATGCTTGCTCTTTTTCTTTTTACAAAATGAAAATATTTTATATTTTGTGAACTCGCGTCTAAAGCAAAGTAAGTAGATGATTAAATAGCCCATGCCTCCCAAAGCTTCACTTCACTTAACTGAGGTGTGAACCTCCAAGAATTGCCTCACAATGAGCGCGTTGAGGCATTTTTTGTTCACCTTGCTTTGAGGCCGGCTTCAATCGAGATTTTTTAAACTATGATCTGTTTAATATGTGTTGCGCTTTTATGTCCAATTATATTTTGATTTTGGCAAAGCATCATTTACCTATTGGTGTCAAAATGGATGGATCGACTAAAATTCGCTTGTCCGGCTTGTAATAAGTGGGGATCGCACATCAGCTATTTAGCTTGACTTGTGAGGTGGCCAGGCACACCTGGTCCTTCTTGGTACCCACCTGTGCCATCATTTTAAAATTTTTTCTTTACTAAAGTCCTTCAAAAAACAAAACAAAATTAGAAAAACAAAAACTGGCAACCTAAATTTTTTTCAAGGGAATTTTTTTTTTTTTTTTTTAATTATGCTACTTGTACATAAGAAATTATATAAAATGGTGTGGAGGGAAAATATTAGATGAAAAAATTAATTGTGTTTTAAGCGACAATTGATAACGGACATGTGGCATTATATGACCCATTATGTAAAATTTGATGTACATGTAGCAAAGTCATTTTTTCCCCCTCTATGTATCAGTCAAGTAAAGTTTTTCTTATCCCCCTGGCTCCGCCCCTGGACCCCACTTCCCAATTTAACACCTCTAGATCTACAACCATTTTTCTTACAAAACAAATGTGAAAATAAAAAGGCCTTTCTTTTATCCTTTTTCACCATGTGCCAATTTTACCGGTATTTCAAGTATATTTTTTACCATGTGCCAATTTTGTTGCAAGAAATTTTATGTAGAATTAATGCTGTTTTTATCAATATTGTACATCTAGGTAGCTATCTCATATTTTCACATGTTATACTTGCCTTTTTGGTTCTTTTACTGTCTTCTAATGCATACAATTTTGTCCTCAGATCAGTCCCTGCAGTCAAATTCAATTTAGAAGATGACGTTGAATGAGCTCCTTATTAACGTTAAAGATCATGGTATTACAGTAGATCCGCTGAAGAATAGAGTCAAATGTAATTATTGTGACAAAGTTGTTAGTGGCTTCAGTCGCCTCAAATACCACCTGGGAGGCATTGGGGGGGATGTGACCCCTTGCTTAGAAGTTCCATCCAATGTGAAGGAAATGTTCAGTAACGAGCTTTCAATAAAGAAACAGGTAAGTTTAAGCAAGGAAGTTGGAGAATTGTACCACTCGCTCCTTCCATTTAAGAGAAATAGGAGCCCTCAGACAGAATCATTAAAGCACAATATGATGAATCTCATCGAGACTGAGAGTTCTGGGACTAAAAGGCATCTTAAAAGGGACGATCGATCTGATAACAGTGTAACAGAAAGCATCCCTTCTCCTGGGAGAGTGTTTTCAGAGATACCTGCCAGTAGCTCAAGAGATCCGTCATTGGACGAGGCTAAAAAATGTATAGGTAGATACTTCTATGAGACAGCAACTGATTTTGATGTTGTCAAATCATGTAGCTTTCGCACAATGATTGATTCCACCCTTGGTCATGGGAAGATAATTCCTAGCTGCGAGGAGTTAAAAGGGTGGATCCTCGAGGATGCTGTAAAAGCGATGCAAAACTTTGTGAAGGATATAAGAACTTCGTGGATAAGTACAGGTTGCAGCATTGTACTGGATGGTTGGATAGACGAGAAAGGTCGAGACCTTGTGAATATTTTAGTGAATAGCCCCAAGGGTGCGGTTTATCTTAGATCATCTGATATTTCAGCTTTTGTTGGGGATGTTGATGCCATGTTATTGTTCCTTGAGAAGGTTCTGGAGGAAGTTGGGGTCGAGAATGTGATTCAAGTTATTACATATTCGACATCAGCCTTCATGAAAGAAGTGGGTGAGCGGCTGACAAACAAGCACAGACATGTTTTTTGGACAGTGAGTGCTTCTACCTGCTTAGAACTTATATTAGTAAAATTTGAAAGTATGAGTTTCATTAGAGATATATTGGAGAAGGCCAGAACAATAACAAGCTTTGTCCAGAACCACCCGAGTGCCCTGAAACTTTTGAGAGCTTATACTCGGGTAGAGAACCTTGTAAAGTCTTCCAAAATTAGGTCTGCAGAGCCCTACTTGACCCTTGAGAATATTGTTTTGGAGAAGAAGGGTTTGGAAAACATGTTCTCTTCATCCGAGTGGAGAACCTCAGATCTATCAGACTCCATCGACGGAAAAAATGTCGATTACTTGGTGGCAGATCCTACTTTTTGGAATGGGGCATTAGTGGTTTTGACGGCAGCTATTCCTATAGTACGGGTTTTATACTTGATAAACAAGAACAATAAGCCCCAAATTGGTCTTATATACGAAACAATGGATCGAGCCAAGAAAACAATCAAAGAGGGGTTCAAAAATAAGGAAAGCCTGTATATGCCGTTCTGGAAAGATATAGACAATATTTGGATCATGCATCTCCACAGCCCACTGCATTGCGCCGGTTACAATTTAAATCCAACTCTTTTTTATACAGATGGTTACCACAATGATTTAGAAGTTCACAAAGGACTTTTTCTTTCAATCATCAAGATGAATGGAGATAGCCGCGTTCAAGAGCTGATCATGATGCAGTTACAAGAGTATTTAAGGGCAAGTGATGCTTTCAGTGTGGGATCCAAATGCCTATCAGATGTTTCACCAGGTCTTTTTCATTTTAATTTTTGCTTTTTTTTCTCATGGCTTGTTTGGCTATGCTTAAAAAGTTCAATTATAAGTTTACTTATAACAAGTAAGATCACGTTGTCTGTGTCCAAAATAAGTTACTTTTCGAGAAGAAAAGCTTTAGATATATTTTTAGCAAGTTGGTTATTAGAAGAAATTAAATTTGAAATTTATATTTTAGAAACTTTGTTTCTTAGTTGACTTATCCCAACTTTCAAATGCTTGTGACAGCACTCTGGTGGAAAAAATTTGGAGAAAAATATCCTGAATTGCAGCGATTGGCAACTCAAATTCTTAGCCAAAGTTGCGATGGTGCCTCAAAATTCAAGCTGAAAAGGAGTTTGGTTGAGTTTCTACTCACAAAGGAACAAAACTGTATAGAGCAGCAGACGTTAAATGATTTGATATTTGTCCATTATAATTTGCAGCTACAAAATTTTGAGACGAGCCAGAGCTCATACATCTCTGCCAATGAGATCGGTCCAATGAATAATTGGAAGGTTGACGAAGCACAAAGTGGTGACATTGAACCGTCACTAATGGGCTTC